TTAAACAAAGTTGTATTTATTGAGTGTAAGCGTGAATGTCTATGAAAGATTGTATTACTGTACTGTGATAAAAGAGAATCACAATGCTGAAAAAGCATTTTCAGAAACCACGTTTGGATTTGAAATCAAAATAATGGATAAATGTTGTGTTTGTGGTAAACAGCCGCGGATCAGGAGCGGACTGCAAACACGTCCTGTGCGAAAGCAAAATGAGTCTGTGCTGCTACCGCACCGCATACACATACTGTATACGCACTGCAGACGGAGTACGTGTGAACTTGGCGCAACAAATCTAGTTCAACATCTGAACTAATCAAAGAGCTCTATGACCAATGCATGGCAAAAAAAAAAAAAATCCCTGGACACAGGCTTTTTTTTTTCTGCCATATGTCTATTCTAGAGACATTTTGTTACACCTTCACTTAGTGATTATTTTGCCTTATGTCTGTTCTAGAGACATGTTACAGCTTTTTGATAAACCTCTAATTGGTTTTCTTTTGGAAATATGTTTCAAATTCACACAATGCATTTATGACTGTGAAGCATGTCTGTGTGTGTCAAAATCGTGATTAAAATCGAAATCGAAATCGCAAAATTGATCATCACACTGAATTCATTAATGACTGCAAAGCATGTCTGTGTGTGTCAAAATCGTGATTAAAATCTAAATCGTTAAATTGATCAAAGAAATCGCGATAGGTTTTTTTTGTCCATATCGCACAGCCCTATTATCAAGTCAAATCAATGGCTGTCATGTGTGCCACATTACAGCAGCAGCAGTTCTTGTTGACAATGAAATGTGACCCCATCAGTCAAGAAAGTTTAGAGAGAAATGATCTATTTAAGAATAATAGTAAATGTTCAAATAAGAACTAATGTTCGAAATGGCAAACTATTTTATTTAGGTTTGTAAACAAATATCAGCTGTGAAATAATTTTCAGATTTTTCTTGAATATTTTTTAAAATATATACACTACCGTTCAGAAGTTTGGGGTCAGTAAGATTCTTTCAAGATTTTGAAAGTAGTCTCTTATGCTCACCAAGGCTACATTTATTTGATAAATAAATACTGAAAAAAAATAAAATAATAATATTCTGAAATATTATTACAATTTAATATAACTGTTTTATATTTTAATATATTTATTTATTTGAAGGCAACGTTGAATTTTTAGTAGCCATTACTCCAGTCTTCAGTGCCATGAGATCCTTCAGAAATTATTCTAACATGCTGATTTAGTGCTCAAGAAGCATTTCTTATTATTATCAGTGTTGAAAACAGTTGTGCTACTCAATATTGGAAACCATGATACTATTTTTTTCAGGATATATTGATGGATGGAAAGTTTAAAAGAACAGAATTTATTTATAAAAGATTTTTTTAAACATAAAAGCTTTTACTGTCAGAAAGTTTTGATGAATTTAATGTGTCCTTGCTGAATAAAAATAATAATTTCTTTCAAAAATGTAATATAAATCACAAATTTTTGAATGGAAATGTATAAAAAAAAATCCAAGATGATAACTGGACAGCTTTTAATGTTGACAAGTCTTGTAACAAAAACGTAGCATGTGAAATGTTTTCTATAACTAAATATAACATTAGTCCCTCAGTTTAAGTAGTAAAGTAAGTTTGTTGCTGCTAGGGAAACGTAACCGTTAGCAAAGTTTTTGTGATGAGAAACTTTTGTATCAATTAGTGGTGGGCGGTATGACCAAAAATTTGTTTCACGGTATTTTTCAAAATTATACCGGTTTCATGGTATAATTTTTTTCATTTTTCCATGCATGACCGGGTGTTAACCATATTTTCTACTGATTGAGAGAGGAAATACTGCAGCATATTGACTTAGAATGCCCTATTTTACTGTCATGATGAGTGAATATTGTCAAAAAATACCACACTAAATACTAGTGACTAAACACGACCCCTTTTAATACATGTTAACCAGGAGTCACTCTCATTTATAATCGCGGCATCGTCTGATAAAATCAACATGCATCTACACTAAAGAGTGGCTATGCGGTTGTTTTGGCTATATTACTTTTTTGTCTCATGTAGCGCACTGCCTGCGTCTGAGTAATAAAAATTTTTTAAAAACGTGCATGTGATATTAACAGACGAACTATGCTCATATTTATAATTCCAAACAATCAGTAAGCGACAGGTGCTAGGAAACGCTGTTTTGTACTCATTTATTGACGAGTCGGCTGCAGTGCGGCCAACTGAATGTGTTGCTTCTCTGCTGCTCACTGCACAGAACAGACGCCGAGAGAGGTGACACTTCTCCGGGAAAGTCAGTTCGTGGGACAGCACTGGCGAAATCTTCCAACTGAACCATAGCTAAGGTTTATCCAAAAAAGTGGCTAGGTTTGTCAGTATGAATATTCTATGGAAAAAAGCCGCTAAAAGGGTCTGAAATGTGCTAAATCTAGTGCTAAAGTCACGCTTGTGTGTGTGTGATGCGGGAGCTGATGGCAGGGGTCGGTGGATATTTGTGGCAGTCAATGTGGATATTGTGGATGAGTTCTTCTGTCATCACGTTCTAGGTCAATGTGGATATTGTGGATGAGTTCTTCTGTGTCATCACGTTCTATTAGTTCTACAGCTTCAGTTTCGGAACTTTCACACTTAGTAACACATACAGCTGTTCCCTCACCACAGTGCAATGGTGAAAAGGGACCCCTTTCAAACAGTGTCGCGTTCCGAACATTGTTTAAGCGACATACACCGGTATTGCGGTGTTTTAAAAAATCATATCATAACAAAAATAAACACTGGTATTTGGTATGAACCGGTATACCGCCCAGCACTAGTATCAACTACAACCAAGAACCCACAACCCTTATATTTTCAGTTCCCGCTGTTTCATTACTAATGAACACAAAGCCTTTTAAAAGACTGGAAAAGATTTTCAGTCATTTCACTGCTACTCAGCCAGCTCACAGTGTGACATCCACTTCCTTGCTGATATTAGACCACTAAGTCAGTGTGCTGCATTTCACTCATAAATGCCTTTGGTTGTTTTGGCTGCTATGATTTGAGCAATCTGACATAATGGCTGCATTTTGAATGGCCCTCATATCACGTATTAGCCATGCAAAAGGCATCTAAGACAGGAAATGTCTCACTCTAGTTCTGCATAAAAAGCACAAACTTTCATTTAAATTATTATGACTTGAAATTTTGCTAACTCTGTTGGTTTTTCCATCATCTTAGGTCACTAAGATGGTCAAGACAGTGACAACACGGACAGTTCGACAGGTGCCACTGGGTCCCGATGGCCTTCCTCTTCCAGAGGGCTCATCTCCACTGGGAAGCTACACTGACTCCATTGACCGGCGCTACATGAAGAATGGCGAGCGTTTCATCACACCCCAGGCCACTTCCACCCTCACACGCTCATACAACAATTACAGCGACTCCTACAATGATGCTCCAGACAGTCAGTTTCGCCATTACGCCCTTCACGATGGATACGGAGACATGCCCAACAACTATGGAAGTCTGTCTCGTGGAGTCAATTACAGGCCCTATCAACCCTACATGCCCACCGGTGGATACCGGCCAGAGAACAGCTACACTCTCCCCATCCGCAAGGACGACTATGGCCATGTGGCCCAGCCTCAAGTCCCAATGGGAAGTAGCACTGTGGATCTCAATCGCTCTCAGCCTGAGCGCTTCCAACCCGAACCCTATGGCCTGGAAGACGACCGCCGCAGTCTAGGCCCAGATGACGAAGAGCCGTATAACCTAGAGCCTGATTATTCCACAGCTAACCGCCGCACACTGCCCGGACGTACCATTCGAGAGCCATTGCGCAACGGCCCCCGCGTGAGGTAGGAATCGTGCAGTTGATTTGGTTTATTAGCTTGAGCTGCTGTGGGTTTTGTCGATGATTGTGAGCAGCTTTGATGTGATTGCCTATTGAAGGGATTCAAATGCTCCAGCTCTTGAGAAGCACATAGATGCAGGTTCTTCTTTCACATAATGGAAGGTTATTGCACCGCAGAACTGGCTTTCAATGTCCAACAAGATATCAAGGAGCACTGGTAAATTATTAACTATTACATAAAAAACTATAATATTATAGCTGTAACTATAATTACTGATTAATTTTATTAATTTATTATTAATAAATTTTGTATTTTATTATTCAGTATGATACCAATAATGCCATGAAAATGTGGAATTAGACAAAATTATAATAATCTTTATTCCTAATTGGTACAGTCTGATACTGGATGAAATACATAAAACTATTTATTATGTTATATTTATATTTTATATACACACACACACACACTCACACACTGAAAAAAATAACTTTGTAGTGTTGTAAAATATATTAAATTAACCATCATTAGTTCTACTTGTAATATTAAATTTCAAGAAGAACAACAATTTTCTAAGTAAAATGTGCACATTTAATTCATGTAATTAATGAACTGCGTGGGAAGAGTAACTATTCTATATCTACTTGTAATATTTACATGTTTTATAGTCATTGCACATAAATCTAGAAATATTGAGTAGCCTGAATTTTAATCTAAAAGTATACCGTACTTAAATCCGCCAATGCGTGTTTGGACAAGACGCGCTTTGAATCAGAGAGGGACGGTTGGGCTTGTCATGGAGGTGATGCATGGCTGGATTTTCTCATGTTTAAGGTAAGTTTGCCTTTCTGTTTTAGATTTCTGATTTGTAATACATTGCTCCGTGTGCATTTCGATAGTTTGATTCTTGTTTACTTGACTCATTATACATCAGCGTTCATCTTACTCACATAACCTCATTAAAGTTAACTTGCATGCGGTCACAGTGAGTGATATTTCAATGAAAATGTTTTCAATAGTTTAGAGATTCACAAAGTAAAAACTTGAGCACGATTGGAAATTACTGGAAATGATTAAACGTTGTAACTGCTTGCTAGCTAACGTTACTAAAATAAAGCAATTGCGTAGTATAGCATAAGGTTAGTTTCTGTTATTTCAAACACTCGACTGACGCAATAGAGTGAGGTTAGAGCCACAACATTGTAGTAATCCCATAAATTGTCGTGTTTTGTCGCTATGCTACGCTAACATACTACCTAACCCTAAAGTACCTGTTGCCACCAGTGATTGTTTTATAGGACTAATGTTGAAAAGTGTGAATAGAAAGTGGTTAGTAAAAGTGTTTTATGCTTCTTCATGATGGTATTTAACTTGTAATTTGTTGGTTAAAAAGCAAAGTCTTATGAACACACTGCAGAACAAGCCAGAGTTGAGGACTATATAGAAGGAGTGATTGGTCTAATTCTAATATTCAGGCTAGACTTGTCATAGCACTTACATATTATTGCTCTTTTGTTGGATTGATTGCTTTTATTGTCCTCATTTGTAAGTCGCTTTGGATAAAACCGTCTGCTAAATGACTAAATGTAAATATAAGTATAAATCTATTCATACTGTAGATTGCATGATATAACATTATTGTTGTTATTTTTACCTGTTCTTCACTGCATAATATAACATTGTGGTTAAATGTTTTAGATCATTGTTTTAATATCACAAATTGTGTCTGTTCATTTACAGGGTGACCTAACTCCAATACACACTTGAGGTGTGGGGAGGAAGACAGACTGATGGCTTTCATGTTAGATGCAGTTTTGGTTATATCAATACTACCTAGCTCTGTCAGGTTAAAACCTCATCTTGTTCTGTTTAAGTAATTTATTTCTATATTTTATACCTCCTGGGGTCGAAACTGTGTATGGTGGAGCAAATGCAGTTTATGTTGGTAATGGAGATTGAATTGTATTACAGAACAGCAGACACTTGAAGTAGCATTCAGTCATACTTTACTTTTTATTCATTTTATTCACTATTTTTTATTCACTTTGATTCACTTTTTATGTTGGAAAAATAAACTATTTAATTCTATTTTAGTTGTGTGATTTGTGATAAAGGTATGCAGTCATGGCCAAAAGTTTGGGCAGTGACATAAATTTTGTGTTTTGCAAAGTTTGCTGCTTCAGTATTTGTAGATTATTTTTTCCACATGTTTCTATGGTATACAGAAAAACAATGATAAGCATATCATAAGTTTTAAAGGCTTTTATTGGCAAAAAAATATAATGAGTAAATATTTGCAGTGTTGACCCTTGTTCTTCATAACCTCTGCAATTCGCTCTGGCATGCTGGATATTAGCTTCTGGGCCAAATCCTGACTGATGGCGATCCATTCTTGCCTTATTAGTTCTCGGAGTTGATCACAATTTGTGGGCTTCTGCTTGTCCACTTGCCTTCTTTCTTTATCACTCTTGCTTTGTGACATGGTGCTCCATCATGCTGGAAAATGCACAGATCATCACCAAATTGCTCATGGATGGTTGGAAGAAGTCGCTCTTGCAGGATGTTTTGATACCATTCTTTATTCATGGCAGTGTTTTTGGGCAGAATTATAAGAGAACCCACTCCCTTGGTTGAAAAGCAACCCCACACATGGTTGGTCTCAGGATGCTTCACTGTTGGCACGTCACAGGACTCATGGTAGCGTTCACCTTTTCTTCTCCGAACAATCGATTTTCCAGATGTCCCAAACAGTCGGAAGGGAGCTTCATCAGAAGAATAACTGGTCATTTTGTGTCAGGATCAAAAAACAGTGACATGTGTTTTGTTTTTTTTGTGAAAAGATCATTTTTTGGCCAATGAAGCTTTTAGCAATTATTTAAAATGCATCTGATCACTCTACACAATAATCTAGAAACAATGTGAATGAACACCACAACAGCTTAAGCAGCAAACTTTGCAAAACACAAAATTTATGTCACTGCCAAAACTTTTGGCCATGACTTGTAGACCAGAGGTTCTCAACGCTGGTGCTCGAGGCGCTTAGCTTGTTCAGGTGGTTGATTAGGGTTAGACCTAAACTCTACATGAAAGTTGGAACCCCTGGTATAGACAAAATGAATATAGTTTATGTGGTTATGATAATCAAAAAGAAATTAGCGATGTTTACATAATCATAGGGAGTAATATATATTCATAAAACAAAGTAAATGGAAATCTCGAACAAAAATTATATAACAAAATCTACTTATTTACTTCAGTAAACAGAGATTTACTTAATATTTTGATAAATGCAAGGTAAATGCAAGGCATTATAAAATAAAGTAAAATAATAAATAAACTTTACTTAATTACTTTAAATAAACAAAACTTCCTAACTAAATATAATTAAGCAATTAGATTTGATTTCTTCATGAATATTAATTTCAGTAGTAAGTAGATTTTACTTGATGATAGCAAGTACTTGATATTAGAGCATTAAAATGTACTTCAAATGTGTTAGTGCAAATTGTTCCGAGAATTTTTTCAAGTTATTTTTTTCAGTGCGCATGTGTGTGTAATTTAGTAAATGTGTAATAACATATTATTGTTGTGTCTGATACTGAAAAATGGCATGAATGGCACGAGACCAAATTAATTTATATCCCTAACAGTCTGATATTGGTACAGTCTGATATTGGACGGATGGATGGATGGATGGATGGATGTTGAAACTAGAGATCGCACACTTTTCTTGATTGTTTTGCTAACATGTGTTTGTGCTATAGAGTTAAGTGAGGTCTCAGTTTTTTCTCCACCCCTAAATGTTCTTCCTCTTCAGCTGAGTGACCTTTGCTTTCACAACCAAAGACAATTGAAAACTATTTTCCTCCTTAAAATAGACGAATTTTCGGTTGTTCTGACCGCAGCTTGCTCTTTGCAGAGATTAGAAAATGAAAAGCACATGACAGTTGACATACAGCAGAGGGGCTGCATATGTGTAATGAAGAGCTCTTCTTTTTGATTAGTGTTTTCTTTCTTTATGTTAGATGAAGACAGCACATTTTTACAGTATTTTTATCTTCTAATACAGAACAGGGAGGAAAGGAGAGATGTTGTTATCGTGAAACATATTATCCTTGTCATACTCTAGTCAATATCAGCACATTCCTCATTATGAGGATCTGTAGGAGTTTTGACAGTCCTGTGTGTTGCAGGAAACACAGTTCCTTTTTTGTTTTTCGGCCCATAATGTATTTGTGTACATCTGTGCCAAAATTATAGTGTAATTAGTAATGATGTCACCCCTCTTACTCCAAATGTCAAAGTATTGCATTTTGCATCCATCATTAGCATTCCCATAATAACACATGCTGACAAAAATCTTACTAAAGAATGTGTAAAATGAATATGTTAATTAGAGCTTATTGCTTTGCAGTTTGGAAACCCCCAATTATAAAACAGCCAAAATTGCGACATTTAGCAAAGAAATGGTGGGCAGTGCCGTGTTTGCATGGATTAGACAGTTACTGTGCATTTAATTGGTTTCACCGACTCGAGATCTCTTCTTTATCTTTATTTCTCTATCTCGGTGGAGCTGTTGTTGTCAGAGTGATTAATAGTCTCTGGTAAAAACTGCCAGACAAACGGGGCATCTCGTCTCCAGCCATATCTCTAATGGTTCATCTCTCCTTGGCTGAGCTTCCCTGCACCTGCCACCAGTGCCACAGCAGAGCAGCCATAAGGTCGTCATACACAAATCTCCCTGGAGACCACCAGGGACCACTTCCTCTATGTGCACATGTTGAACTGACAACAGTTATATAGTGTAGGCAGAAAGAGAAAAAATATTCCATCCTTTATATGGAAGTTTAGTCATGGGACTAAAGACTGAAAATCTGAGGTGGTAAAAAGTATTATATAGTAATGTAGAGCAGAATAGAGTTCTTATTTAATTCTAGGCTTGCCGCGATAGACGGTGTTGACGATGATACCGGTGTTAAGCCGCAACACCGGTTACGTCACTT